GCTGTCTTCTGAGCTCCGGCCAGTCAAAGCGTTGCCGCGAATTACCACAGGAAAGCTCTGACACTGTAAGTGCCTGAGCTCATGCGACAGTTACTCATGGTCTGCATTCAGTGGAGGCGCCGACCAGATTCCCAGCACACTGGATAAGCAGAGATCAGCATGCCACCCTCCATGCAAGGTGACAACATGGAAGGGGAATTGATTTTTGTTTTTAAATAATTATTATTTTTATACATATTATATACAAACACTACACCTATTGACACAGACAAACAGATACACATGACATGCAGACACACACACATATACAAACACATACACAAACACATACATATAGAGACACATACATTCAGACGCACATACACTAACACACACACAAAATGTTTTAGTCACCCTCCTGTTTCATACCTTTTAGGTGCAGGAGGGTCTTTCCCTGGGGTCCTCTCCTTCCTCTACCCAAGCGGCTCGGTGGTTGCTGGGAGGAAGTGACCGGGGCTGTCACTTCTTCCCAGCGTCTGACTTCATCAGAGGGGGCCTGGTCTCGCAGTTAAAGCACCACAGCGCTGAGCGATCCCTCTGGAAATTCATTGCCATCGGGTGGCCCTAACAGCATGGAGCACCCGATGGGCCCCTGAACGCGCGGTTATACCGTGTGGGTCTCTTACCTGCAGGCTGGAAGAGGGGGACAGTGTGTAGGAAGGTGACAGTATAGGGGGGCAGTGTGTAGGAAGGGGCAGTGTATAGGAAGGTGACAGTGTGGGGGGCACGGTGTAGGAAAGTGACAGTGTGGGGGGCAGCATGTGGGAATGACCGGGTGGGGATGACAGTGTGGATGGGAAGACTGACAGACAACATTCCCTCACTGATGCACACTCACTGACAGACAATCATTGTCTCACACACTGTTTAACTAAAACACACATTCACTGACAGAGACACACTGACACACTGACACAAACACACTCTCAGAGACACATGCACTTGCTGACATAAACACACTCACTGACAGACACACACACATTCAGTGACTCACTCACTGACAGACACACACCTACTGGCAGATACACATTGACAGTCACACACACAATTAATGACAAGTACACAGACTTCACTGACACACAGACTCTCACTGACCAACACAGATACACTCACGAACACACACCACACATATTCACTGACTGACACACACTGACAGGCACATAAAGACTCAATGACAAAGACTCTCACTGATGTGACAGACACACACACATTCGCTGACAGACATACACACACTCACACATTCACTGACAGACGCACATTCTCTCACACACACTCACAAATTACTAATGATATTAATTTAATTTGTCCACCCAGCCTCCCTACCTTTGGGAGAGCTGGAGTGGATCTGTCCCTGGGGTCCAGTGGGGCTGCTGTGAGGTGGGTGGCTGTGAGCACATCAGAGGCAACAAAGGAGCTGTAATGCTCCTGATTATCCCCCATCCACATTTACATATGCTCTTTTCTGCTACACTCCCCCTTTCTTTCATCTCATGCCTTACACTCATTTTTCTACTCTCTCACTCCAACCCACAATCGATCTCATCCTAGACCCCATGCATACAAAACCCATTCACACCTCCTGTCACTTTCCCTTCTCCTACTTCTAGCAGCTGGTGATGTCTCTCCCAATCCAGGGTCCTTCACCTTCTCTACACACACTAAGACAACCAGAAACCCCACAAACCTCATCACCCTGCCCTTTACCCTCACCAAAATTAATTGTGCACTCTGGAATGCCTGCTCCATCTGCAGTAATTTAAAATCAACAACCATACACGACTTTTTCATCTCAAACTCACTCACACTGCTTGCACTTACAGAGACCTGGCTGTCCCCCTCTGATAGTGCTACTCCTGCCTCTTTATGTTTTGGTGGGCTACAATTCTCTCACACTCCCAGACTCAACTGTAAAGGAGGCGGCGTAGGCATTCTTCTCTCCCCTCAATGTACCTTTCAACCAATCATAACTCCCCCTGCCCTATCCTTTTCTTCTTATGAGGACAAACTTAGTGAGATCCCTGTCCTTGCTTTTACTTGCTTAGTTCCTCTATGTCAGTAACATACTTTGTAACTTTAAGTTTCACACAGTCTTCTGAATGAGCAGTTGTGAGACTGCTTCGATGCGGATTCAAAATGATCTTCATGTGTGAAAATATTTGCTCACAGATATATGTTGACCCAAAGGCCGAAAGCAACGCAAGTGCAATTTTCTTTAAGCAGATACATTTTTTCAGGTAGACTGGTCCAACATTGCACAATGGCAGCTGATCTATCTGTGCAATTTCCCTCCAGAGTTTTCCACAGTTCTTCAAATTTTGTTCTCCATAATTCTGATGCCTTCAATTCAATAAGCTGGATTTCAAAATCATCAACATTCATCCATTCAAAAAGAGTTAACCCAAATGAGGTAGATTCAGTTAAGTCAGGCTTGATAAGGAATGAAAATGTTGGCCCATGGATTTCAAAATCTTGACATCGTTCTGTGAACTCTTTTCTGAGTGCCCCAATGTACTTCTGCAGTTCTTCTGTGTCAACTGCATAATGAGCTGAATGTGCTTTTACATTGGGAAAATACTTGTATGTCTCAGTAGTGATATCCCGACAATACACATTCAGTTTTTCCATGAATCCTTTCCAGTATTCATAAAGATGAACAGTTTGTTCTTCTCCCTGTAACTGTAAATTCAGGTAATTCAGGTGTGCAGTTATATCAGCCAGGAACATAAGCTTGCAAAGCCAATTAATATCACTGAGTTCTGGGTAATTATGACCTTTTTCACTGGTAAAACTCTTGATCTCCTCCAAGCATGCTACAAATCTGCTCAATTCCTTGCCACGACTGAGCCAACGAACGATATTATAAAAAGGGAGATCAGAATTCGAACTCTCCAGTTAGGACCTGAACTGTCTGTGGGTTAATGCAGAGCGGCTAACTAAAAGATTTACTATTTTTACAACTGTTTTCATCACAAAGTTCAAGAATGAAGATGAGATTTTAGCACACAAGTTCTCTTGGTGAATTATGCAATGGAAGTTCAGTGCAGGACGACCAATGTGTTCTTGGAGAAGTTTTACAAATCCTTTGTTTTTTTCCAACCATGGCAGGAGCACCATCTGTAGTTATACAGAATATTTTATTGATCTCTATACTCTGCTTTTCAAAATAATCTGCAAATGCAGACATAATATCCTCTATAACTGTTCCTTCAAGTGATTTGAGACAACACAATTCTTCATAAATGCGATCATTTTCACAGTAGTGAGCAACTACTGCGAGGTGAGCCATGTCATTTACATCAACACTTTCATCCACAGCGACACTAAAGACAAGAGCATCTTTTAAACTTCTTCTTTGCTTATCTTGTATATTGTCTGTCATTTCGGTCACTCGTCTTTCTATTGTTCTTGCCGATACTGGTATATCTTTTATCCGAGATAATATTGTATCTTTATTAGGCAAATCGACAAATAAAACTTCAGCACCGTTTATAAAGGCTTCTTTAATATATCCACCATCTGTGAAAGGTTTCCCTTTTCTTGCTACACACTGAGCAATTTTATAACTACATTCAGTAGCTTTATTCTTTGCTCCAATAACTTGGCTAAATATACTTGTTTGTTTTTTATATCTACAAAGTGCTCTTTTTATGGCTTCCATTTTGTCCTCCATGTTATTAAATGACGATTCATGTTTAGTTTGAAAATGTCTTTTGACACTTGATGTTCGGCAAACAATACTTTCACAGCATAATGCACACACAGCACGATCCTTCTGCTGTACAACTCCATATTCCTCAGTCCATGAAGGCTGAAAAGTGCGGATGTCAAGCTTTTGCTTTTTGGCCATAGACATTTTAACAAGTAGAAGTAGGATCTGCAATCTAAAGCTGAGAAGGCTGAGAAGAACAGTTCGTTCAAACAATATGATTGCTCCCTGTGGATCCTGCAAATAAGCAAAAATACCCCTTTTCTATAATGTGCCACACAATCCATATTTGTGATACTTTTGATTCCTCTTTTGGATTTTTTATTCTTCTATTTTTAACATTGATTACATCCCCAAAACAAATGAACATCATAAAAGCTGCCTTTCTTTCTCCGAAAACCGCCACCCTGATAGTGGTTGGAAATATTGTTGGGTGCATTTGTGCACCTCTCTTTTATACACTGGAACCAACACATTTGTGAACCAATCTCCCATCCCCTCAAAAAAAAATTTAACAGAAAAATAAGATGAATCAAGAGGCGCAGTAAGGGATATTAAAGGAGGTGTAAATGTCCCATTTTGTCAGAAAAGACTAGTACAGTGTACATGCCACAGACAGGCCTGTAGAGTTCAGCCCCATTTTAATAACACCAGAAAATAACAAATGACACAGCGACAAAATGGGCTTCAATAAGAGGGTGAATAAGTACAAAGATCCTCTTTCCTTTTTTATAATTCTTTATTTTTCTTGTGCATGAGACTACATTTCAACTTGTGTTGCCACAACAGCGAGAAGTAAAACACATACAAGGCATATAATGAAGCGATTGTATGCCATTCTTATAGACTGCACAATTTGCAGTAACAGGCCAGGTTTACATGTCTGTGTCTGTGTCTGTTTCAGTAGTAGTGGATGAGCAATCAAAAATAGACATGTAATGATAATTAGGTCTAGAAAATGTTCATACACCCAGAAGGCCTCAGCCATGGGCATTAGGGAAAGCGTACTCATAACAGGTAATGCTACAGGTTATAGAAGGCATATCAAAAGAAATATTAGAAACTGTTAACTGAAAGAATAAACACAAAATAATAATAACATGCGATGAGAAGGCTTCTGGGCTGTGGAGATCCCGCTATTAGGAGTCTCTGACTTTTATCAACCTATGTCATTCTGGGGTAGGCCGCAGCCTTGCTGTGTTGAAGTGCTGAACAGGTCAGAGTCCCAGTTAGAGGCCTAAGCAGTAGGCAGCAATTATTTGAAAACAGGATGAGTTGCTGCTCCTTTTGCCCCTCCGGTGCAGTAGAGCAAAACCAGCTTGGATGTAGGCATGATGGAGTGTTGTTCCTTCTCACAGCCATTATTACCTGTCGTCGACATCTCCGCCATGTTCGGTTTGGACGTGTTGTGTCCACTGCCTTCTGCATCTTCTTGAGTGAGAAACCCGGTGTGTGATCGCTGCTGCTGGGGCCACTGGTTCCAGGCAAGGTGCCAGCTTCTCCCAAAAGGCGTCAGAGCCGGTTCAGCCGATACTATACATCCCTTTTCCCACTGCCTGGGTCAGAAGCACACACGGTGGCTGTCATTTTAGTTGCCACATGGTTTTGGCTTTGTGGTGGTGTCGTGTGCTCCTAGCTCACTGAAAAACCTCCTGGGTCCGTTCCGGGATCATCTCCGCAGGTCCAAAGGAGGGAGGACAAGGCACAAGCTGGTGTTTGGCTTGGCACAGGCTGCTCCATATGGGAGACTGGCCGCCCCTCCCTTCCACGCTGCACACCAGGCCACAATATGCTCGGTGCCCCCTCCAGGACTGTCAGCCACAATTACAGCTTGTCGCCAGTAGTCGGGTAAGCCCAGGTTACTGCAATATTGATTTAGAGCGTGGCAGGGCCCAGCAGGGTCCCCAAAAACAACCATGACCACTTAAATGTATTTAAGCGGTAATGTTACCTGGAGTCCATGGGTGCCAGGATCCACGTCACTACCATTTAGCAGGTTGGTCCCCAGTAACCCAGCCTCCAATGATGATGCAGAGGAGACAGAACTATACTTCCATCTCAAGCCATACCAGAGATTAAGACAGTGATTGACTGAGAGTGCTCAGTTGACAGTTAATCACAGGTCTCAAACTATGTATGGAGTGTACTAATGTATTCAGTGGCGTATTATGGATTTGTGGTGCCCAAGGCATTATGAACTTGGGAACTCTCTAATTTAAATCTGCCCCACCTTGTTAAAGACTAACACACATTTTGACTGACACACACACTCACTGAATTGACATTTAAATTGAATTGACACAATCTAACAGACACACACAATCACTCGGACACACACTGACAGAAGCGCACATGCACTGACAGACACGCATACTCACACATTCATTGACAGACACCTATAATCACTCAGACACACACATTCACTGACAAACGCATATACACTCAGACAGACATACACAAACTCACTCACAGACACACACCCATATTCACTGACCCTCACACACACTCACACATTCATTGACAGACCGACACAAACTCACTGACAGACAAACTTACACACACACTCACTCAAACACTCAAATACACACCGAAAGATATAAATACACACACTCAAAGACCCACACTGACAGACACACAAACTTACTGACAGACACACATATATTCACTGAAAAACACATACACACACATTTTTCCCCAACACTCACAAATTTTGGCTATTTCTTTAAAAAAAAAAAAAAATCTTCCCAGGCTCATTACTGTTGAGAAAGCTGAGTAGATTATTTACCTGGGGTCCAGTGGGGCTGCTGGGCTTGCAAGCAGACAAGCTCACAAAGTAGGCAGCGAGGGAGCTGTTATCCTCTTGCTTTGCCCGCTTGCATGCCACTTAGTGATGCCAGAGCTGAAATATGATGTCATATTTCAGCTCGTAGCAACAGTAAGCAGCGCGCGAGGGAGCAGAGCAGGAAGAGCTCACAGATCAGCGCTCCCGCGCCGCCCCCACATGGAAAACCAACTAGCTGTCCGCCCCGCGGGGGCCCAAAACTGGCTAACTGGTCAGCTCTTGGGCCCCCATAAAACAAGGCTAACAAGGCATGGGTATTTGGAGCAGTGTTTTTTGCTGTCCCCTGGAAAGTGCCGCCCAACGCAAATACCTTGTTAGCCTCACGGTAAATGCATCGCTGAATGTATTACAGAGCCCCACAGCAATAAAACGCTCATGTATGTAAGGAGTTTATGAGTGTATCACACAGCTCAACTGCAAAAACAATCACAGTAATATGAACGTAATAAATGCAGTGTATGAACATATCACAGAGCCCTCAGAGATACAACTCATATCAAAGTGAGTGCATAATTTCATCACAGAGCTCCACAGCAATAAAACTCAGTTATGTGGTTCAGAGTGCATCAGTGTTCTACTACTGTGTGTGGAATTATGTGGGATGTCTGTGTATTGTATGGGTGATTGTGATGTGTGTGTGTGTGTGAAAAGGGGGAAGCTGTTGTGCGTATGGTTGGCTGAGTGTGATTTGTGTGAGGGTTTTGGCGATATGGGGGCAGCTGAGTGTGATTTGTGTGTGTGTGAATGGTGGAGTGTAATGTGACACATTGTAGTCAAGTTTACCAGTCACACTTCATATCTGATCTCTCCTAGTCTCTCACATTGGAGGAATGGCTTCAAGAGCTTGCAATCTAACTCAAGTTAGTATTTTTGTTTGTATTTTTTACATAATTAGGAAATGCTCACTCGACTTAGATTGCAAGCTTTTGGGGGCTATTCCCTCAAGCCTTTACATATAGAGACCAGGGCACCCAGGGAATGGAGTGTACAGCTTACAATCTAACACAAGTTAACATATATGTGATATAAATGGACTGTCTGACAGTATAATAATACTTTGTATCACATTAAAGTTAATTTGAGTTAGATTGACAGCTCTTGGGGACCATCCCTGTATGCCCTGATGAGCATTTATTTGTAACAAAAATAGTGTGGCACTGGCACCAGGAAAATTTAAAGCAATTTACCTGATAATATTCAGGGTCAGGGACTGGCAGGCAAACAGTGAAGTGGTAGTAGCAGACACAAGGGTAGTAGCAGTGGCAGACACAAGGGACAAGGCAATCTCTGATTTTGTGACAGTCAGGAGCAGAAGTGATCCCTGTGATCACTACTGCTTCTGATTGGCTCACATAAACAAGAAGCCCCACACAGATTTGCTGCAAATTTGACCTGTAAATAAATCATCCAGGCTGAGAATGCTTCTAACAGAGTAGGAGGACAGGAGGCGGGGCTGAAGCTTGGTCTGAAGGCGGGGCTGAAGCTTGGTCTGGAGGCGGGGCTGAGGATGCTGCTGACAGAGTGGGAGGGCTGGAGGCGAGGCACAGATCATTGGAACTGAGGTAAGGGTAGCTTGATGGGCGGAACTCCAGATCGCAAGTTCTTGTGATGCTGGAAGTTCCGCCGCCACCCAAGTTCCATTCTGGTTTCCCTTAGTGTAGATCGGTCGGCAGCCCCGTGTGCCGCTCAGATGCACCCCGCGTGCCGCGAGTGGCACACGTGCCAGAAGTTGCCGACCCCTGTCCTAGACTATTCATAGAACACTTTTCTTCCTGGCTTTCCCACTTCCTCTCATCTAGCACTCCTTCCCTTATACTTGGGGATTTCAATATCCCAATCAATAACCCCAATTGCACTGATGCCTCTCGTCTGCTCTCTGTAACCTCCTCCTTTGGCCTTACGCAATGGTCCAATTTAGCAACCCATACAGCAGGAAACACTCTTGATCTTGCCTTCACCAACCTCTGTACTGCCTCTAATCTCTAAAATATTCATTTTCCTCTATCTGACCACCATCTGCTGACTTTTGACATTGGCATACCTAAGACCCAATTGACACCACCGTCTGAACATCACTCTCACAGAAACTTCCAATGTCTTGACCTAGAGCATTTCTCCACTAATCTCCAAACTCTCCTTTTACCTATCTCAAACCTCACCTGTCCCAATTCAGCAACCTCCTTCTACAATTCCACCCTCTCCTCTCAACTAGACATCATGGCACCTTATACATTTAAACGCCGCAGGCCCCCCCAACTACAACCCTGGCACACCAAGCTCACTCGATACCTCCAAAAATGCTCCAGAACTGCTAAACGCTGTTGGAGAAAGTCTCACTGTCCATCTGACTTTCTCCACTATAAATTTATGCTGAGCTCATACAGCTTGGCTCTTTCCTCTGCAAAAGTTAATTACTTCAATACCCTCATAACCACACTCTCCTGCGAACTCAAACGACTATTTCACACATTTAACTCTCTTCTTCGCCCTGCTGTTCCTCCTCCACCTACTAACTTGACCGACTTTGCAACTCACTTCACTGACAAGATCTCTACAATCAGAGAAGAGATCTCTCATCTTTCTTCTTCCTCTTACAATACTTCCCCTAACTTTACTCCCTCTGCTGTTCTATGTTCATTCGCACCCGCTACATTGGAAGAGATTTCTGCTCTGCTCCAGTCCTCTCGACCCACCACCTGCTCCCTAGATCCAATTCCCTCGCATCTCATCCGTACTGTCTTCTTCTCTTTCTCAACCTCTCACTAAAATTCTCAATCTCTCTCTCTCCTCTGGTATATTTCCATTGCCCTTCAAACATGCAACTGTAACCCCAATTCTAAAGAAGCCCAATCTCGACCCTAACTCTCCATCCAACTATCGTCCTATCTCGCTACTGCCTTTTGCATCCAAGATCGTTGAAAAATTTGTGTATGCGAGATTGACAGACTTCCTTGAGTCCAACTCTCTGCTAGACCCGCTTCAGTCTGGTTTCCGCACTAAGCACTCTGTGGAAACGGCACTGACCAAAGTATCCAATGATCTACTCGCTGCAAAATCTCGTGGTCACTACTCTATCCTAATTCTCCTTGACCTGTCTGCGGCTTTTGACACTGTTGATCATCAACAGCTTCATCTCATCCTCTGCAATATCGGTCTACAAGATATTGCTCTCTCCTGGTGTTCCTCCTACCTCTCCCAGCTCTTTCAGTGTTTCTTTCTCTGGCTCTGCTTCTTCTCCCCAACTCCTCTCTGTTGGTGTCCCCCAAGGTTCAGTCCTTGGTCCCCTACTGTTCTCCATCTATAATGCCTCCCTTGGTAAACTCATTAGCTCCTTTGGCTTCCAATATCATTTCTATGTGGATGACACACAAATCTACCTGTCCTCTCCTCGTCCCTCTTCACTAGTGTCTCTGACTGCCTCTCTGCTGTTTCTAACTGGATGGCTGCCCACTTCCTTAAACTAAACTTGACCAAAACTGAAATTCTGGTCTTTCCTCCCTCAAGTGTTGTTGCTCCTGTGTCTGTCTCCCTCCAAGTCAACGGTGCTACCATCAGCTCCACCACGCAGGCTCGCTGCCTAGGTGTTCTCTTTGACTCAGACCTCTCCTTCAAGCCTCATGTTCAATCTATCGCCAAATCCTGTCATTTCCATCTCAAAAACATTGCGCGCATCCGCCCCTACTTAACGCCAGATGCGACTAAGGTGCGACTAATGGTAGTCCATTCCACTGTCCTTTCTCGCCTTGACTACTGTAATCCGCTTCTCAGTGGTCTTACGTGCTCCCAACTTGCGCCGTTACAGTCCATAATGAATGCGGCGGTGAGGCTCATCTTCCCGTCCGTCCGCACCTCCCATGCCTCACCCTTCTGTCAGTCCCTACATTGGCTTCCTATAAAATATAGAGCTTAATTTAAAATTCTGGTTCTTGCTTTCAAATCTCTACATAATGCTGCTCCCACTTATCTATCCTCCCTTATACACAAGTATGTCCCATCTAGGCCCTTACGATCTGCTGAAGACTTACGTCTATCTTCTGTCCGTACTCCCACCTCTGAGGCTCGCCTTCAATATTTCTCGAGGGCTGCACCGTTCCTGTGGAACTCGCTTGCCTCCTTCGTTAGATGCTCACCCAGTCTCCACTCCTTCAAAAAATTTTTAAAAACCCACTTCTTCATAAAAGCGTATCAATTAAACTGTTAATAGCTCCTGACTGATTCCTCTTCTGCAACTGTCACTAGTCTAATACTATCCTTACCTTTTGTGTCATTTTACCCCACTCCATCTAGCATGTAAGCTCATTGAGCAGGGCCCTCAACCCCTCTGTTCCTGTGTGTCCAACTTGTCTGGTTACAACTACATGTCTGTTCGTCCACCCATTGTAAAGCGCTGCGGAATTTGACGGCGCTCTATAAATATCATAATAATAATAATAATAATAATAAAAATCTGCTCCCTCGCAGGCTGTCTCCTGATGCAGGGAGCATGAGTAGACGGCGCTAGAGGGAGTAGAGCAGGAGGATTACAGCTCACTCGCCACCTCTGATGTGCTCACAGCCGCCCGCCTCGGGGGTTCATAATCTGCTTTCTCCATGACAGGGGGAAGCACCAGGGACGTCCATGTGGGCACCTTGGGATAGATACAGCCAGGGCTGGCCTTAGGCCTCTGACCTCCCCCCAGCAACATCCCTGCACGGCAAGGCAAAAAGCGATGAAAAATATCACATCTACATCTGCCAACGAGACTTTAACATATCAATCCATAACAAACTATAGATTGTAATGTACATTATTATTTTATTAATAGTTTAAAAAATATGCATGAAGTAAATACATACAGTTTTTTATTACTGAAGTTAGAATTTACAGAGTTTGAATTAACAGAGAATTTCACATTAAAGGTCAAAATAGCAATGCTGAAAAGAAAATAAACTATGCTTTTAGTTTCGTTACTCTGGCCTTAAATTTGAAATTCACTTTGCCTTTCATATTCTCTCACATTTTATTGTAACCACTATCTTTTGAACCATATTGGTTCTTCTGTAGTAAAAGTGGGTGAAATACTGGCAACTTAACTCTTTGACATATATAGAAACTGATTATTGCCTTGTCTCTAGGTGTTACAATGGAGTGGAAAGAAAATGTGGCTTAATGGGTTATATCTTGTTTTGTATTGCTTTCTAACATTTGTTAAATATCCATTTTATTCATCTTGAAATAAAGATGAAATACCTGACAATTCTGCCCAATTTTCAGTAATTTCAGAATCAGAAAGTTGGCATGGATATTGCCCTTCGGAATCAGGTAAAAGATTATAAGTTTTGGTTTCACCAGTAGTGGGGTCAGTAATGCACAATTTTCGACCATTTTCATTTAACTGGCAGAATACCTGGAAAAGAGTGTTAAAATGTTACCTATAAATATTTCCACAAGTTCATAGGCGCTACACATTATCTTCCCTCCATATATTTAAACCTGTAGATTACAGATTTCTTGCATTTTGAAAGAAAAGTATACCAGCAGCTATTATAGTCTAGTAACATAGTCTAATACAGTAGGTCACAGTCTTTGTAGGTCTAAATAAAACTCAGAATCCGGCAGTGAATTCAGACAGAGTTTGGATATCTTGAGATCTGTGAGTAGGTTCACTAGTAGATTGAAACATTTGTAGTTGTATCCCTGTGGGTGGCTACTAATAATTCACAAAAATATTTCATCCCATTAGAAAAGTGATTGTCAATGTTAAAGGGGCACTATTGTCATCAAACTAACTTTAGCTTAATGGAGTAGTTTTGGTGTATAGATCATGCCCCTTCAGTCTCACTACTCAGTTATCTGCCATTTAGGAGTTAAATCACTTTTGTTACTGTTACTGTCCATGCAGCTCTAGCCACACCTCACATGGCTATGACTGACACAGCCTGCATTAAAACACTTACTTTACATTTTTTATCTCCCACTCTCTACATTGAACCCCACCCTTATTATATATCATTTTATCCAGGGGAAACAGGGCTTTCATTTAATATCAAATATTTAGCTATGAAACATAATTTAATATGAAAAAAATGGGAGAAAATAAGATTTATTTTTATTTTTTTTGTTCTACATGACATTTTAACTGTCAATGTCATAATACTGTTTGCTTTTACTTCAATAAAATACACATATTTGAATTCAGCAAAGTCTCACGTGTAAAACAGTACCCCCTATGTACAGATTTTATGGCATTTTGGGAAGTTACAGGGTCAAATAAAGCACGTTACATTTGAAATTGAAATTCGCCAGATTGGTTACGTTGCCTTTGGGACTGTATAGTAGCCCAGGAATTAAATTTACACCCATAATGGAATACCATTTGCAATAGTAGACAACCCAAGGTATTGCAAATGGGGTATGTCCAGTCTTTTTTAGTAGCCATTTGGTCACAAACACTGGCCAAAGTTAGCGTTAGTATTTGTTTGTGTGTGAAAAATGCAAAAACCGCCAATTTTGTCCAGTGTTTGTGACTAAGTGGCTACTAAAAAAGACTGGACATACCCCGTTTGCAATACCTTGGGTTGTCTACTATTGCAAATGGTATGCCATCGTAGGGGTAATTTTCATTCTTGGGCTACCATAGGGTCTCAAAGGCAACGTAACCAATCTGGCGAATTTTAATGTGAAAAAAATGAAACACAAGCCTTATATTTGACGCTGTAACTTTTGAAAACACCATAAAACCTGTACATGAGGGGTACTGTTGTACTCGGGAGACTTTGCTGAACACAAATATTTGTGTTTCAAAACAGTAAAAAGTATCACAGCAATAATATTGTCCGTGTAAGTGCTGTTTGTGCATGAAAAATGCAAAAAACTTCACTTTTACTGGCTATATCATCATTGTAATACATTTTACTGTTTTGAAACACTAATATTTGTGTTCAGCAAAGTCTCCCGAGTAGAACAGTACCTCCCATGTACAGGTTTTATGGTGTCTTGGAAAGTTATAGGGTTAAATATAGTGCTAGCAAATTAAATTCCCTTTACTTTCGGCATGGGTTGTCAGGCAGGTCCCGCTAATTGTAATTAATTAAGATACCTAATTATGTAAAAATATTACATAAATATATATGTAGAATTAATGTGTGTGTGTGTGTGTGTATATATATATATATATATATATATATACGTATGTGTGTGTATATATATATATATATATATAATTTTTTTTAAATATTTTTATTTATATATGGGCGTATATATATAGTAATATATACGTATATATTTATGTATATAGCTATATAAATTATTTTGTTCTACGTGTATTTTGATATATATATATTAACATCACACTACAGTTAGAACGAAATAACACGCATCTATATATTTTTGCAATAAAGAACACATATTTGTATTCATATTTGTAGCCCCAAAGTACAGGTTTTATTGTGTTTTGGAAAGTTACAGGGTCAAATATAGCACATTACATTTTTCAGTTTATACACATTGAAATTTCAGAATAGTCAGGAGCCAAGCCAAAGGTCAAGGAATACAGATATTGAATAGTCAAAAAGGGAAGCCAAGGTCAGATACACAAGAAATCAATACAAGGAATGCGCTCTCGGATAACCAACTGGAAACCACAACAGGGCACTGAGAAATGGACAAACTAGGTTTAAATAGCTAACTGTGTTTCCTGATAGGCTGTAGGGAAACAGAGAGGAGAAGTCACCACCGGTGAGTGCTTGGCGGTATTCCCCTTAGCGATAGATACATATATGTATTTATAACGTCATTCTAAATGTATTTTGATTCAAATATATATGTATATTAATATCAAAATACAGTTAGAACAAATTTAAACTGGTAATTTTTTTTTAATTCTATTTTATTCTTTTTTTTACATTTATTTTTATTATATATATATATATATATATATATATATAAAATTAATGTCATTCTAAGTGTATTTTAATATTTATTTATATAATTATACATATATTAATATTAAAATATACTTAGAATAATGGATTGTGTATGTTTACTATATAAAAGTACTTAGATCATATATATATATGATCTAAGTACTTTTATTTAATACAAAAACTATTTTGAAGCAAACCCCATTATCACGACCGGCATCGGGGGATTGGCGGGGACTCGGTAAGTATGAAGGACGGCGGGGATGTTTTATGCCGCGCTCCGGCATTTAGAGCCACCCCAAAAAGGACAGCATAGAACAGCCACCGTCCTTAAGGGGTTAAGGTGCTTGTGCTATTAAAAACAGTGTAAATATTATTGTGCAGCAACCAATACAGAATAAAAGCCAATATCTTTATGTACTACTAAAAAAAAAAAACACAAGTTGGTTTGCAAAGCAATACAAAAGAAATAGGGAAAATATAAAACTACTTATTAAGAGTGTTTTACTTTAAATGTCCTTGGGCTGCACCTTTAAGACAGAATTAAAACAAATATAGTGGAGAGCATCTATATGCTTTGAATCAGGACAACCAAACACTTTTAGTCAAACTCACAGTGTCAGACTGGTATGAGTGCCACTCTCACTTTAAAAGCGTTGGAAGGATCAGCTCCTTGTGTGTGATGGATCCAATTAATTGTACTGGACTGGAAAGGCGAGCCATTCTTTCTTGGGTAAATATTTATTTTATTAAGACATCAAATTAAAACAAATAGATAAAGTTCATAAAACCAGATAAGGTAAAGCCACGTAATTACACGGTCCAGTATTTGTTCAGCTCAAAGTTTGCGCCACAAGCCGCTCAAACCGGTGTAGCCGCTTCCCTGTTTCCTTCAGAACAGTAGCGCTCTCCTTTGCATTATTTATATAGCTTTACAAAACTGTAAATATTGATACCCAAAATAATTACCACTGAGCTACAATCATTCTGAGGAGAATCATTGGGTTCTTCCAAGGGTTCTTCAGAGGACATCAAGTTGCATCCAATCTCATCCATCAGCACATTAAATTCAGAGTCCTCCCTAATGGATGCAACAGCTCTCCTTAACTCAGACTGCAAAATAATATGTGTTATTAAATAAAATAAACAATGTATGTAGTATTGTAATAAATAACATATAATGTAACAATTCATAATTGTCAGGATTATAGTTGCTCAAGCTCGCAGAATAGTATCACACCTAGGGCTAAGGATAACATCTAACCTGACCTTATAATGGCTGGAATTAACGTACCTGAGAATAGTCAAAATACTTGCCGAGGTCAGGGACCCAGAAAGAGACACAACTAGGAGGAAAGCCAGAAGTCAAGGATACCAGAAATTAGGGAAGTCAAAACGAAGCCGAAGTCAAATACTGTAAAAACGCAATCAGTGGAAACCAAGACAGGGCACTGACAAAAAAGTAATCTGGGTTTAAATAACCCTCCTTAGGCTGTAATTGGCTGTCTCTGACATCCGACCCCAAAACGTGACATCATACGCACGTTGGCGCCATCTTTGATGTTGGCGGAGGTAAGTCTCCTATTAAAACCAGAACCGCAGAGGCAGGCATCTCTAGGAACGCCATACTCTATGGGCACCGGGATAGAAGGATAGAATACGATGTTTCTGTCGACGTAGCCGCTATTTTTCAGTGCGGCCACACCGGCGGAATCATTGGGAGCTGTGACAATAATGTGGGCATTATTAAGTCATGTATGTGTTTTTATAGTTTTGATAATCTATTGCCATATAAGATTGCAAAAGCAGCAGTACAGTACATAGAAACCGAGGACAGAACACAAGTAGTCATATATAATATTGATATACAGAGACCGATAGGGAAGAGAAGTCTATGAGTAAGTGTCACGCTAGGCACAAAATGCATTAGGCGTCTGTCCTGTTTTTGTACATTTGGGTTTGTGCTCTCATATTTTTGTGTTATGTATTTTTACTGAATATCTATACTAAATATTTATATTATTGTACTTTCGGCACATTTCATTGAGGCTTTCTTTTCCCCCTATCTTATTTTGTTGGGTGGTATACTTACCGGATTTCTACTTGTATATCTCCTTTGTCCTCTCAGGTGTTCATTTCTTATGGTATATTTCTTCCCATTTTGGTAAAATGCTTTGTTGTGATCATCAAGATCATCAGCTATAGTTACGTGTCATAACTTTTTCCTGCAGGGAAACTATTGTGCCAGGAAAACAGTTGTTTTCGTGACACTAAAGCTCCCTATAGTGCCTCCCCTTCTGTCACTTACCTGATTCCAGCGCTGATGTCCCTCAGTGCTGTTTCCTGCTCTGCCTCCGACCTCCTCCCTGCCAACGTCAGCAGGCAGGGAAGACCTAATGCACATGCACAGTGATGGCTGTGCTCGCATTAGGGCTTCATCCATAGGAAAGCATTGTATAGTGCTTTCATGTGGGCTTTTGGGTGATGCTGGATGTCCTCATGCATTGCATGAGAAAGTCCAGCATCAGGCGACCAAAAGTTGCCTAATAACCTGGAGACAGTGGCTGTCTGGTAAACAGGCACTAGAGGTGGAGTTAACGCTCAAAGGTAATTATTGCAATTTATTTAAAAACGCAATAATTATTTGCAGAGTTAAGGGACCTGGGGCACTGCACAATGAGCTGAGGTGGTCTGGGTGCCTACAGTGTCCCTTTAAAGTAGGTCTAAAGACAAATTGTACCATTACAGTCAGATAATCACTTTCACAAACAGGTATATAATGCCATGTAATAAACTTACAAATTCTTCACTTAAATGAGAGGAAGTTCGGTATTCAGTATAACAACTATCTCCTAGGGGGGAAAAAAAGCTTTTAATTAGATCATTTAAATGCCTTTAATATTTGTATAAATTACAAAAATATATATCTTAAAAGTTCCCTCCAAATCTCCAGGCAACATTTGTGTATATTAATTATTACGTAAACTAGTGTAATACTCAATGTGAATCTTTGGTTTGCAGTACCTGTTCCTAAAAAAAAAAAACCTGAATTTGATTGCTGAAAGTATGAAAAATACCAAGGAATTCCAAAATGCAGTGCTCCTGAGAGTATTTTCAATGACAGCACTTGCAGCAATCCACTGCAATCAGTGAATATATCAGTCATCTTGCATGTGCATACATTTCATGCCATGTGAATTTCCAAGTGCTTATCATTGATTCCTGTTAAGAATCAGATTGTATGCACGATATTAGACATGTGCATGTACATGGACAGTGCTCTTCCCTCTTGTTTCAATAAGGATTATTTCAGCAACTTAAAATTTCTGTGTAAACCTGGAAAACAAGAAAACAAATTGAACAGTGCAGTACACAAGATACAATTAGTGGACTCTACACCAACAATTTTACACTTTTTATCCATTAAGGATTTTATTGCCTCAATAAATAGTTTTTTATCTGATTCTGTCTGCTGAGGTTCCTGCTCCATACAAGTCATTGCTTCCAAAGGGAGGAAAGGGGAACATGACAGCCAATTTTGGCTTCAAGGCGCTATTTTATCCACAATCTTGTGAGTGCGACCAGCATTTGCCATATTCTTTTTATATTACAATACATCACTATGTTTTGTCTATTTTTTATGTTCTATAGATCAAACTGTATCCCATATTTGTATATATCAACCTGTCTATTTGTCAGGACTATAGTTGATCCAGCACGCAGAATAGAATCACACCTAGGACTAAGGATAATGTCTAACCGGATCTTATAATGGCCGGACTTAACATATATGAGAATAGTCAAAATACTTGCCGAAGTCAAGGACACAGAATGAGACACAACAAGGAGGAAAGTCAGAAGTCAAGGATACCAGAAATCAGGGAAGTCAAAACGAAGCCAAAGTCAAATACCAGAAAAATGCAATCAGGAACACATTCTCAAATAACCAGCCTAACCCTCCTTAGACTGTATTTGGCTGTCTCTGACCTCTGACCCCAAAACGTGCGTGCGTATCTATGACGTGATGTCGCACGCACGTTGGCGCCATCTTTGATGTGGGTGAAGGTAAGTTTACTACAAGAGTCCGAACTGCAGCGGCCAGCGTTCCTAAGAACGTCGCACCCGCTGGGGACCAAAACGGAGGGAGACTGGGCAGCTGCCCGCCGGGACCAAAGTAAGTCAGAATTATCTCTGTCGGCATGGCTGCTTAGTTATTGTGCAGGCACACCGGCAGAGGAAGACCAGGGGAAGGCCTCTTGGGAAGCTGTTTTGCACTAAGTACTTTTTCTCACTCAACACTTATTTTGGTGTAAGGGTGAAGTGTTTTTTTGTACCATACACGTAACCAGTAGCGTCGGAATGCATACAAAATTACCAGAAGCGTTCCTATAAACACAAACCCACATACAGTTGTCTCTTCCAACACTGTTCCTCATTTGCCATCTGGTATTTTTGGGAACACCAAAGCCAAGTTCCAGATAACGCAAAGCAAGCTTACATTGTGCTAAACAAGAACAGGGCTTTTCCCTATGCAAGAGCTATTTAAACAAGGCTCTATCATGGGCTGCCCAGGGGCACCAACCTGACTTGCCCACTTTTGGGGAGCAAGCATGTAATTGGTGAGGACACAACTTGCCCCTTTCTCTGGTCCCGCTCATATTCGACTGCTCTGACTTTAAATGCTTTGGACAAATTTTCTTGTTGTTGCAGTAGAATTTACTTTTGCAGATCTTAGTACTACTCTCTGAAGTGTGAGACAGTTCGGGAATCAATGGATTCTTGGGTGGAAAGTTGCTCATGCATTTGAAGACAGCAGTTCTTATAGAATGCATACAAGCATCCAGAAAGCAAAAAATCAAGTAAGAGCAACAATCAGCTAACATCAACTTTGCCTCTGGTGTTTGTCACAGGCAACTTCCATGATATTGCGCTTTAGCCAGGTAAATAGTTTGAAGCTCAAGGATATTAAGCTTTGCCTTGACTGGTGACTGTATTTCCTCAGACCCCCCCATTCATCATCACAATGATCCAGACAGGTGTCCAAAACTCTGAAATGGTCACAGACTGGTGAGAAATCTACCACAGGACTAGCCTTAATAAATCAGTTACCAAAGGTGCCAGATATGATAATCCATAGGCTCTGGGTCTATGGATGCCACCATCAAGTACATTGCCAAGTGAGAGGCCAGAAAGCTTGTGAGGAGTTTATGAGAACCAGAAAGCTTGTGAGGTCCAGAAAACTTGTGAGGAGGAGTGCCAGGTCATAGGAAGCTGCTTGTACTAGGATATCATCCAGATACGGGGCAACTGCAATTCTCATGGTATGAGACAACAACATTAAGATATCCAGAACCTTGGTAAATTCCCTCGGAGCTGTGGCAAGTTAAAAGAGCAATGAAAACAACCTGTAATGTCAGTCCTGGAAGGAAAATCTCAGCAACCAATAGTGATCTGGATGGATTAGAATGTGGAGGTAAGCCTCTTTCTAGTACATTGTCATCATAAACTGCTACTCCTGAAAAAAATGGCAAAATAGACTACAGGGTCCCAATCCTGAAGTAGGAATCCTGAAAAACCTGTTTAGAAGCTTAACCCCTTAAAGAGGCACTGTCATGCTGAATCCTGTTTTTTTTTTTTTTTACCACCCTCTGGCCTCCACTACATCTGACACCCTAGTCACCCCCAAATGCCCCTAAACCCCCACATTACCTATTTTTTATTCCTTATTTTCTGCCCCGATCTATATTCATGGCGCCGCCATCTTTGTGTGGGTTTGTTTTAAGTTCGACGGTTATGATGGTTTTTTATTTGGCCTTTTTTGGGGCTGAAAAATGAAGATTTGAGAAAAAAGAAGACGTCGAATGGTAAGTTTAATTTTATTTTACAGGTTAGTTATTTTATTCCCCCCTCACTATTTTTTAGGGTGAGGGGGGTAGGTAGGGACTTTTTATTTGGGTGGGGGGATAGGTGACTAGGGGCTTGGGGAACCCTAGTCACCTTGTGGGGGGGGGGCGGGGAAATTGACTTAGGGCCCCCACCCGCCACTCAGGGGTGGGGGCCGGGGAGAGAGGACAGTAGCCCCCCCCCATTATCTTTATGGCCCCCACCCGCCGCCCAGGGGTGGGGGCCGGAGGGGGGGTGGATAGTAGGTAAGACAGGAAGAAAAGAATAACAGATCCTGAGAGAGGGGGAGAAGAGGAAGAGATTGAGGAAAGGTAAGTTCGGCATGACAGTGCTGCTTTAAGGACCAAACTTCTGGAATAAAAGGGAATCATGACATGTCACACATGTCATGTGTCCTTAAGGGGTTAAAGGACCACTATAGTGCCAGGAAAACATACTCGTTTTCCTGGCACTATAGTGCCCTGAGGGTGCCCCCACCCTCAGGGACCCCCTCCCGCCGGGCTCTGGAGAGAAGAAGGGGTTAAAATCTTACCTTTCTCCAGCGCCGGGCGGGGAGCTTTCCTCCTCCTCTCCTCCTTCCTAGCGACGTCATTGGCTGAATGCGCATGCGCGGCAGGAGCCGCGCGCGCATTCAGCCAGTTCATAGGAAAGCATTTTATTAAGCTGAAGTGGTCTGGGTGCTTCTAGAGGTCCTTTAACGTTCAGAATAGGAATATGGTGAAAGTACCCTCCTATGGTACCACATGCAGGTTGAATTACTAACCCTGACACCTGAAATACCACTCAATTTCTGTCCACAGACCACACCCAGGGGTCAGATAATCCCCCACCAACAGTCTTACCTGCAGTGAGAACAACCTCTCATTAAAATTTATGGGAACAGGAGACCTCTTGGTCTGTTTTATAGAGGGCTGCTTTACAGAGGGCCGAGAGGTGGTGAAAGCATGGCAGGAACCAGGGACATTGTAGGAAGGGGAACCTCTGGAAAATCAGGACAGAGGCCAAGACATGCCCCTGGGAGCAACACTCACTCACCACCACCAGTAACCATGAAAATAATGGCATTTCAGCCCACACCGAATAGAACCTTAGCCTGAACTGAGAACTTTAAAAGGCATGATATGGAAAATTTTCAGTCACTCCCTACAAGCGATATGGCTAAATATCAAGAGCCATATTAAAGCAGAACGAGGATTGACAAGGTGGGACAGTATAATATCCATAGCATAATCTTCATAGTCTAATATGGGAACAATAGGACTGGAAGGAGAAAAAATAAGAAATAAGCAGAGATTCTATACCAGTGATGGCGAACCTATGGCACGCGTGCCACAGGTGGCACGCGGGGCCCTTCCTGGGGGCACGCGGCCACAGGTTCGCCATCACTGCAGAGTAGGCACCTGCCTGCCCGAAACGGCAGGCGCCTACTCTGCTTCCGGGTCGGGAGGCAGGGGGAGGGCTCCAGGAAGCAGCTCCCCTGTCCTCCCGCGCGATGCTGTGTGGAGCGTTGCCGCGCGTTACCATGGCAACGCTCCACACAGCATTGGGAGGACAGGGGAGCTGCTTCCTGGAGCCCTCCCCCTGCAGTGCTTACCACCACCGGACCACCAGGGATCGCTGTGTCCCCCCCCTCCCCCCTCATTAAAGGTAAGAAGGAGGGGGGGGGTATACTGACACAGCACCCTTACCCCCCCAGAAGTACCCCTACCCCCCCAGCAGAACCCCTACTCCCCCAGCAGTAACCCCTACCCTCCCCAGCAGTAACCCCTACCCCCCCAAGCAGTAACCCCTACCCTGCCCAGCAGTAACCCCTACCCCCCCAAGCAGTAACCCCTACCCTGCCCAGCAGTAACCCCTACCCTCCCCAGCAGTAACCCCTACCCCCAGCAGTACCCCTACCCTGCCCAGCAGTAACCCCTACCCCTACCCCCCCACACAGTACCCCTACCCCCCTCACACAGTACCCCTACCCCCCACACACAGTACCCCTACCCCTCCGCAGCACCCTTACACATATAGCACACACACACAGAACACCCCCCCACACACACACAGCACCCCTCACATACAACACTCAAACGCACCCCCCACCTCAATGCAGTATGTGTGTATTCAGCAGTCTATGTGTGTGTGCGTGTATTCAGCAGTCTGTCTGTGTTTGCGTGTATTCAGCGGTCTGTGTGTGTGTGTACTCAGCAGTCTGTGTGTGTGTATTCAGCAGTCTGTGTGTGTGTTTTCAGCAGTCTGTGTGTGTGTACTCAGCAGTCTGTCTGTGTGTGTATTCAGCAGTCTGTGTGTGTGTTCTCAGCAGTCTGTGTGTGTGTGTGTGTACTCAGCAGTCTGTCTGTATGTGTATTCATCAGTCTCTGTATTCAGCAGTCTTGTGTGTGTGTATTCAGCAGACTGTGTATATGTATTCAGCAGTCTGTCTATGTATGTATTGCATTTGTTGGAGATACTAATAAATATAAGCTTAATTTTATCTATTTATATCATTATTTAAAATTTGTATCATTGAACTCTCTGTGTTCTTTTAAAACAAAAGTTATTAGTTCGGACAACAGTACGAGTTGTTTTTTTCTAAACTTAAACCTCAGTATTTGGGTTTAATTGCCGTGTTGGCACTTTAAGGAGAAAAAAATGTTGGCATGTATTGCGGTTTGGGCACTCGGGCTCAAAAAGGTTCGCCATCACTGTTCTATACCATATTAGCAATATTTTATAGCTCTAAAATCATAAATTATTTTTATTATGTTCTTCTCTCCTTTTAGTGAGAACCTCTCTACCATACCTGGGAGAGATAGACTGGCCACAGAAACAGACACGTGAAATTGCACTCCAAGACTTGGAACGAGCTTTGAAGAATAACTACCCTCCAACATTTTGTAAATGGGGTCCTTAAAAGAGAGAGCTTTGCTCTAAAGGTATAGTAGTTGTGTTTTGGATAAAGTAGAAATCACTTCATCAACCTTAGAAACAGTGTCCCACGATATGACATCCACCTCAGGCAAAGAAAACATCTTGGTGAACTTGGTGGAGGTAACCAGAGCAGAGCCAAGTTTCTCCCATTTATTGTGCACAACAGTCTGAAGCAGAAAATGACAAGGAAGAGCAGGAAGTGGCTGGAAAAAAATAGTCCAGCACTTCAGAACCTTCAGCAGGTGACTGTGTGGTCTTAATAGTGTGTAGAGCCTCATTAAGTAGGTAGTGCATATGCAGAGGAACCAAAACACGTTAAGCCTCAAGGGGGCTAGAGCACGAATGCTTGGCCACAGGAGGCATTGCATTAACCAAATCTGCAGTACCAAACCCAAACCCAGAAACAACTGGACAAAAGAAGGGTTGTGTCTCCCTTAATTGATATGTTTACCTACACACTTGGAGCCAGGTCTGGCCGTCTAAAAAGGTGAGAAGCAAACTGTGTTACAGCTGTAGTCTTTATTTGAAAGATTTAATGCACTAGGGATGGCTGGTCCCCCTGTCTTCCCCTTACTGTCTCTCCTTCTATGAGGACATCAACCGCTGATACTTTGGAGGAAAAGGTTGAGTGTTACCTGAATACACATACGCCAATAGGATTTGAAAATCCAGCGCACTCCCTTATCTACTAAACAGCAACTTTGGCGGATTCGGGGGCAACAGGGCAATTGCCCCCCCCCCCCCTCCCCCCCCTGAGATTCTCCCCTGTCAGCTAGTGCAGGGCTGGCATTGTCCAAGTGCCAGCCCTGCAATGTGCCTGCGGACCGGGGAGGAAGATCAGAGATCTCCCTCCCCGGTCTGCAGGCACGGTGCTGACAGCCGGCGGGGGGAGGGAGAGGGAGGAGAGAGGACCCGGGAGTTCTTACCTGCAGCTCCTCCGGGTCCTCCTCTCTCTCAAGCACAGAGAATTGCCGCGGGTACCACGGCAACGCTCCAAAATCCCGCGAGAGTGAACTCTAGCCCTGGAGCGAGGGCTAGAGTTCACCTCACCACCACTGGGACCACCAGGGAACAAAATATGCCCCCCCTCCTCCCTCCGTAACGGTAAGGAGGAGGGGGGGACATACAAGTATTTATGTTATTAAATAAAAAAAAAATGATTAAAAAGCCCCCTACCCTCCTTCCCCCCCCCCACACACACACTGCCCCACACAAACACTGCCACCCATACATACACTGTGTCACACACACACTGCACACCCAGACACACACTGCCCCCATACATACACTGCCCCCATACACACACTGCCCCACAAACACTGCCACCCATACACACACAGCACACCCATACATACACTGTGTCACACACACACTGCACACCCAGACACACACTGCCCCCATACATACACTGCCCCACACAAACACTGCCACCCATACATACACTGCATCACACACACACACACACACTTCCCCCATACATACACTGCCACACACACACACACACACTGCCCCACAAACACTGCCACCCATACACACACTGCACACCCATACATACACTGCCCCACAAACACTGCCACCCATACACACACACTACACACCCATACACACATTGCCCCACACACACACATCCCCCCATACACACATTGCCCCACATACACACATTGCCCCCCACACACACAGTGCCCCTTATACACACACTTCCCCAAACACACATACAGTGCCCCCCAAAACACACACTGCCCACACACATATACAGTGCCCCCCATACACACTGCCCCAAACACACATACACTGCAACTCACACACTGCACCATAACACACACACTGCAACACTGACACACACTTCACCGCACACACACACACACACACACACTGCAACTTTCACACACACTTCACCCCTCACACATACCACTGCTCCTATGCCCTATATCCCAGCAGACCCCAGCTAAGTTGTCAAACTGTTCTTAAACGGTTTGACTACTTACTCTGGGATGGGATCCTGGCACTACTGGCACCATAACTACTACAATGAGCTGTAGTGATTATTGTGCCTGGATTATTTATTTAAATAATCGACAAGTGCCCCTCCGCCACCGTTTGGTGCTGACAGATTTTGTTAGTTTTTTTTAAAAACGCCTAATCTAGGCAAAAAATAATGGTGGTTTACTTACAATATATGATCATACATTGCATAAGCCTGCCAATATACCCCATCTTTGGCAGGTCCTACTCTAACAGCCAAATGTCTGCTAAATGAGCTACTGTCAGTACCAAAGTTGCTATTTAGTACATAAGGGAGTGCACTGGATTTTCATTTTTATTGTACTTATTGGTTCCCAGCAGCACCCTATTTATGCATATTTAGGTGAGTGCAGCCAGCCCCTTGTTTATATATATATATATTTATATACATACACTGCTCAAAAAAATAAAGGGAACACTTAAACAACACAATGTAACTCCAAGTCAATCACACTTCTGTGAAATCAAACTGTCCACTTAGGAAGCAACACTGAGTGACAATCAATTTTATAACATGACAGGAGGCTTCGTATTTGCTTAAGTCTCTCTTTACTAGAACTCCACAGCAGCACAGAAAAAACAACCAATCAGAAAAAAGTTAGGTACTATAAAACTCCCCTCCCCATACATCATTTCCTCTTTCTTTGCTGCTCCGCAGTCAGTACAGTTCAGAGTACCACTGCATCCTGCTTCTAGTGGGTGGCTTTGGGATTTTATTACTTAGATTCAGTATTTTTTATTTAATCTGTCTGGGAGTTTACTATTTATCTGTAACTTTATGCATCATTGTTGGTCTGTAGGTTTATATATGGATTCGGGGGGTCTTGGTGGGCCTTTTCTGCCCTTTCTGTGTCCTTGTTTTATCCCCCTCTGCCTACTCCCAGATACACATTTTTATTCCACTTTTATGTTCCTTCTGCCCTCTATGGCGGGCTGTATTTGTGCCGCCCGAGGTTGGCTGGAGGCTGACTGTCTCACCCCCTCCGACCCCCGGACTCTGCGTTCCCTCAGATAAGGTATTCTCAGTTTTTAGGCTGCTTTTGCCCTTATCTGACGGGCGGTATATGTTCCGCCCGGGGTCGGCTGGAGGCTGACTGTTTCACCCCTTCCGACCTCCCGGGCTCCGGGACCGCGGAGTCAAACCTCCGCCGTTTCCCGTGCTTCTCCTGCCGGTCCCTGGGGTACCTGGCGGCCGGGTCTTCTTCCACACGTGGCCGCTTGCGGCGGCCGTCGCCGGCTCCATACCGTGTGTCTCAAACCGGCTGGAGGAGGGGGTGCTTTGATCACGACCCCTCCCCCGGCTGTACATACCTCTATGGAGGTCTGCTTGTGGGGTCCTTTCCCCGAGGGAAGTCAGGCTCTTCTATGAGAGAGGGACACTGTCCTTCTGTAGATTTTGGGTAATAGACTATCGTTCTCTTTTTTACCTACAGCAAGTGAACACTTGGTCTATTCACAAAACATTGCATTGTGGATCACTAAATTCTATGCAAATTTGTCATACTTGGATGTCATAAGTTTAACAGCTTGATTCTCTATTCTGTACCTGCTTTTACTTTTGTGCTTAAAACTAACAGTAACATATGCCACCATTCTTATGTCAGGTTGCATACATACGTGACAGTTTTTCAGGTGACCATTTCAGACTATTATATGTTTTTCCTTGGCCCTGCATCGGATGTTACCCAACCAGTCCCCATTCTAGATATAATACTGAAGAACTAGCTTGGGATGCAGTTTGGGTACTATTTTATCTGTGCTACACTGGGATGGGATACCCCAGTGTCCAGTGGCTACAGGGCGTTTAGGGGACCGCCGGAATTCTTACTTTTGTGCTCTTACCACACTTTCACACTACCATGAAGCTTTGGTATATTGAGTGGATTGTACACCTAATTACCCCTAAGATTCTATATACATATGTGTGTATGTATATATATATATATATATATATATATATATAAAAGGGGGCTCTACTCACGCAGATTGCTCCCCCTGCTGCTGGCAGATCACAGCTCCTGGAAGTGGCCGACTATCTGGGCCCCATTGATTGGCCTGCTATGTCTGTGCCCCATTGGATTGGCCTGCTACGTCTGTGCCCTATCGATAGGCCAACGTTAGTCTGTGCCTTAACCCCGTTTGGCCCCGTTACTGAGGAAAGCCCAGTATGCACTATTGACACAGCTGTCATATACCCTGAGATGACACCGGTATACAGGCACATATATATTGATTGGAAGGGTGAAGGCCCTAAACCTCACGCCCTGAGAAGCAAGGCTTCTACTAAGATACCCAGGCGGGCACAGGAGGTGGCACATCTCCACGGAGAGTTTCGTTCTGATGCACATACAGGGACCAGTGCTCAACAGGGGATCATGGTAATCACTTACCTTTAGCAACTGTCCTTTAGCTGCATATCCGGTACCCCTTTTTGGGTATGGGTAGTTATTTCTGCGTCATGCTTGGTTTTTGGCCCATTCAGTCCATTTTTTCCTGTATTTACCATCTTGCCCGTTATTTTCTCAAGGTATGTATTTCCTTTATCGTATCATTTGGTTTGTTGATTCTCTGTTTTCTTGTCATCCCATATCCTAGCACCCGGGTCGTCGATAGGCCTCTCTTGGCCTTCCCCGACTTCCCGGGCTCTTGTGGACCGCGGAGAACGTTGCCAGCGTTTTCCCAGGCTACCGATGGTCATCCTGGATCCCGCGCGCATGTCGAAGCTAGACCCGTGTTTTTTTCGCTAGATCTGCTCTCTGGAGTCATCTGTTGTGAGTGAAAGGACTTTACGTCTTGCCTACATATTAGAGAACATTATGAGTTCGCGGGACTCCAGGCTAAGAAGGGAGGTATTCCTCTATAGGGATACCTTGACCTAGATGTCTCGGATTCTCGTTCCTGGGTCCCTTGGCCTACGTCCTACTACTTGGAGATACGTGCCCGGACAGTCAGGGGTACAGGGACCTAAAGGTCGCACTATATTATACCCTGGATTGTATGTGTTGTGCAGACCAGAAGCTCATACACTAATTTTGACAGGTCAGGTATGGAAAAGGATCGTACAAACGAGTAATCGGATAATTTCACTCTCACTACAGCACGTGAGGACTCTTCTCTGCTATACAGGTCCCACTTACCATTGGATCTGGACCAGTTATCACTCTTCGATGATGTATCTGAATGGAAATCTCAACCCTGTCTACGCTCCCCTTCATTTGCATTTTTCCAGGATTCACGATCCACTAGAGTAGTCGACCACCGTTTCACTACACAAGTTTAGTCTGAGACCCTGATTGGACGTCGTTTGGGAGTTCTTTCCCTACCGGAATCTCGGGTTACACAGTTCATTTGGAGTACTGGAATCACTTAGGATACGGCTAGTTTTGACCACACTCTTGCCTGCATAATAGATCCATTCTCGGATGAGACCACTCACCGGGTAGGTCATGAGGGAACGAAAAGACCTTACTCTGTTCGGTTACGGAATTGGTGGTAGACTTAGACGCATTACTTGAGGTTGGAGATTTGGCTGCAAGGCCACATCACCTGGTGGGCCTGGCACTATCGGAGGAGCCATATTCCACATCAAGAGTCACGACCTGGTGGCAGTTTCTTCTCGCGGCTCTAAGTCCGCAAATGACTTTCGATATTTTACACCTACAGGTAAGTGGCTAATAGGTCAGCTTAGCAGCTCATGGACTGGCTGCTAGGAAACAGGTCGCAACCACACGTACAATGGATTTAATAGCGGATGATGTTTTCCCGTATTTGGGGTGCCTCGACAGCTGACATCTTCATCGATCCGTCTGTCACTTCTCGCAGTTGGAATGTCCTTTTAGGATTGCTCTGGTATCTCCCAGAATAGGTACCAGCGAAACAATCAGCGTTGGATTTGTTGGCTGAGCGTTAAAACAGCAAATATGAAGCCTCCTGTCATGTTATAAAATTGTAGATTATGCTAGCTTTAGTGTACCTATAATCTTAATTTTATTAATGACAGGAGGCGTGTATTTCCCACTCTTTCTTATCCCTCCCTTGTTTAATTTTTTTTTTTCAAATTCGTATTTTATTGCGTTTTCAAAGCAACCATGTGGGGTACAGAAAGGAAGAAGGGGGGGGGTATCCACAAGTATTAGATAGTTACAATGTAGTAATTACAAATAATTAGCTGCAGAACTAGTACCTTGAGCATTCATTAACATCTACAAATATGTATCCATTCTGTTGTAGGTCGTGCGTCGTACATCATGTTTGTGCTTAAGGCTGTCTCGGCATGTATAATGGCCTATGTGTTTATGATAAGTTACCCTGGGGTCTGACTGTCGGTTGTGTAGGTGATCCAACGTTGCCAGTTATTATGCGTGATAGTTCTACGATTAGGTGTCGATGTAGTCAGTATCTCATGTCTCAGATACTGTTGTGTTTTGTGGAGTAATTGCTGTGGGGTCGGGCATAGCTGTTGTTTCCAGTGGCATGCAATGAGATTGCGCGTTGCCATTATTAGCATAATCAGTAGTTGCTTGTCCTGTGCAGAAATTTGAGCAGGCAACAATAGGAACAGACCAATAGTAGGTGTTAGAATTCCCTTCATTATTCCTAAAGAATTTCCCAGTCGTTGGACTTCAGTCCACAGTGGGGAGATATCTGGGCAGTCCCACCATATATGCCTCATCGTCCCTATGTCGTTAGTGCATCGCCAACATGTGTTTGTGGTGGCTGGGTAAATTTTTTGTAATTTGTGAGGTGTGAGGTACCACCGATACATAAGTTTCTTATGTGCCTCTATATGGGTGTAGCATGAGGTAACGCCTTTGAGTGCCCCAAGTGATCTTAGCCACTGAGCATTAGTGAGTTGTGGAAATCCTTCTTTATGCCATTGGAGTGCAAAAGCAAAATTCGTCAGTGGGGGATGTTGTCCTAAGGCGGCGTACCCAAGGGATAAAGCTTTAGCCCTTATTGGTGTTTTTTGGCACCTATTATATATAGCGATAAGATCAAGGTTTGGGGCGGTAGCATGTTGGGTCGGGGTTTGTACCTTTTCTTTAATTATGCTTTTGAGTTGAAGGTATGGGAATATGTAGTTGGGCGGTAGAGTGTACTTGAGTTGGATATCAGGGAAGGGTAAAATGGTCCCCTGGTGACATATATCTGTGATGTGAGTGATGCCCTTGTCTTTCCATTTATGTAAAGATAACCACGGAGAGATGGAATGTAGCGTTGTTATCGGAGCCCATGAAGAAAATTTTGTAGTGTTCGTATGTCGTTTATGGAGATAATCCCACATTTGGAGTGTGAGTCTAGAGGTAGGGAGCATTGGGGTGTTCTTATCCCTGAGGTGTCTGGGCGTCCACAGTACGTCTACCACTGATGAACAAGGAGAATACTTATTCTCCATGTCCACCCATTGGAATGTATGTGAGGGGGCATGTAGTTTAATTGCTGCTTCTAGTAGTGCAGCCTTGTGGTAAAGTACAATATTAGGGAGACCTGTCCCTCCCCTGCTCACCGGAATTTGTAGCAGTGTATTCGGGAGGCGTGGCCTCTTATATTCCCAAATATAATTGTTTATTAGCCGCTGTAGTTGTTTGCATATTGTGGTGGACAAGGGGAGATGGAGCATCCTAAATATATATAAAAGCTTGGGAAGAATCACCATTTTTACAGCATTAATTTTCCCAAGCCAGGATAACCACACGTCTTTCCATTTGTGCAAAGATTGTTGGCATAGTTGTGGGAGCGAGGAAAAGTTGAGTGTGCTAATTCCTCTAAGCGTGGGTGCTATTTTCACTCCCAGATATGTTATGTGGGTATTTCTCCAGTCAAATTTGTGCTTGTGTTTCAATGATTGTACCATCACCGTTTGTAACCTGATAGGTAGGGCTTGGGTCTTTAACTGATTAAGTTTATAATACGAGACCCTACTGTATTCCTCGAGAACGCCCAGGAGCCGGGACAGGGAGTCATCCGGATCTGCTAGGGTTATGAAAATGTCATCAGCGAACATAGCCAATTTAAATTCCTCGGATCCCACCCGTACGCCCCTAATATGATCGTGGTTTCTGATTATGTGTGCTAGGGGTTCGAGGGAGAGTACAAACAAAAGGGGTGATAGTGGGCATCCCTGCCTTGTCCCATTCGTGATATTAAATGGGCTCGAGATAAAGCCTGCGTTTGTAACTCTAGCTGAGGGTTGTTTATAGAACGCCATGACTCCATTGATAAAGGATGGCGGGAAACCATATTTAAGCAATACTTGTTCCATGTAAAGCCAATTTAGTCTGTCGAAGGCCTTCTCCGCGTCTAGCGCGAGGAGAAGACCTTCCATATGATGGGTTTCCATATGAGCTAAAATATTTAGTATTTTTCTAGTGTTGTCAGACCCTTGTCTCTGCTTAACAAAACCTGATTGGTCATTATGGACAATACGCGTCAGTATTTCTTTCAGTCTCTCTGCTATCAGTTTTGCATAAATCTTGGTATCACAGTTCAAGAGGGATATGGGTCTGAAATTTGGGCATATATTGGCAGGTTTGCCTGGCTTTGGTAATGTGGAAATATGCGCCTGAAGCATCTCTTTCGGCATACAACCATTGGTGTAGCAATGATTTATAAGCTGTGTCATATGTATTGCCTTTGTAAATGTTTGGTAGTACAGGTTCGTAAAACCGTCGGGACCCGGAGATTTATGTGTAGGCAATTTAGTTATCACTGCAGCCACCTCTGAGTCTGTGAATGTGCTTGTGATCTGTGCTATTTCCTCGTCTGTGAGAGTAGGTAGGTTTACTTTGGATAGAAAATCCCTAATCTGGGTGGGAGTGGGGACGTGTGTACCCTCTGCCTCTTTGAGATTGTACAAAGTACCATAGTACTTTGCAAATTCGTCTACAATATGTTGCGGGTGTAGGATTTTTTGTTTGTCAGCTGTCAGTAGGTAGGCTATTTTGGAGTTCGGTAGGCGCTCTCTAAGCTTAGCTGCAAGCACAGCGCCAGATTTGTTACCATGTGCAAAAAATTTATGTCGATGTTTGTGTAAAATGTAGTTAGTTTTCTCCGTCTCTATGTCCCTTAATTGCATTTGTAAAGTTGTAAGGGTTTTGTAGTGCGTTGGAGAAGGGTTTAGTTTGTTCGCGTGGGTTAACTCCGTTATTTGTTTTATGAGGTCAGTAAATTTAGCATTTCTTTGTTTGTTTTTATAACTAGCATGTTTAATCAGGCTTCCTCGTATCACTGCCTTATGTGCTTGCCAGTTTGTATCGATAGAGGTCTCCCCCGTGTCATTGAGGTCAAAGAAGGTGAGAATGTCTTCTTCGGTGTTTTTAACTATGTGTGGGTCACGTAGTAATGTTTCGTTGATTCTCCATGTACCCTGGCCTTTATGTGGGAAATGTTCCTGTAGCGTGAGTAGTATAGGTGCATGGTCGGACCATGTCATCGTCCCTATTTGGGCACTGCAGACCTTACGGGTCATGGCAATGGGTAATAGGAACCTGTCTATTCTGGAGTATGAGTTGTAGACCTGTGAGTGAAAGGTGAAATCTCTTTCAGATGGGTGAAATACCCTCCATATATCTAGAAGGCCTGCACCCTGTATCGTCTGCCTTATTTGTTGTGTAATATGGGTGCGTTTTCGTGAGGTTGAGCAATTTACTGTATGTGTGGAAGTTGTGTCGGCTGCGCTATCAAGTATAAAATTGGAAGTGTGAACAAATAAAGTCAGACGAAGTGAGAAGTGTGAAACCAGTGATATGAGTGATAAAATACAAGTTGGATTTGTTAAAACTTTGTAAAATATTCTGTAAAATACTCTGAGAAGTCAGAGAAGTCTGGGAAGCAGGAATAGCTTCTTAAAGCTCATTAATCTATATTTAAAGCCATATTTAAAGCTATTTAAAGCTAACTAAAGCTAATTAAAATATCAGAGCTTCGCAGACAACAAATCCTTAAAGCTTTCTAAAGCTGCTTAAAATCTCGTATGCCCAAGTAAGGACAAAGATACGGAAGCCTAAGAATAAATTGAATAATTGAATAGCTGAGATAATTGGACATATTTTGCGCTACTGCAGGTGTACAACTGCATCTATTGTCTTTACCCACAAGTAAATCAGAAAACATGGCGGCAAAAAAGGGGGAAAATAAAATAAACACAAGGAAGGACAAAGATAAAAAAGTCGACTCTAAATTTGAATCTAAAGCGGAATTAAAATCTGATAAACGCTTGTCAAATTATTTCTCTG